AAAGCGTGTCACCGTCTGGCATCCATTTATATCCCTGCAAAACGACATGTATTGCAGTGATAATTTGAGGGTGCCAGATCCAGACTATGAGGGGGTTAAGGAAAAACAGTCCATCCCAGTTTAGAATACAGCGTCTGATTCAAAGATGGTAAAAGTATGTACATAGATGATGATTTTGTGAAAAAATAACTGAATGTTTGTTAATAATTGAAGAGTACTTCAACGTAAAAATTATAATTGTAGAAATTAAATTTTACTAAAAAAAAAAAAAATTGAGACATTACTTTTACATCAACTTTCGTACAATTTTGCATGTATTTTAGAAATCAATTTGGAATTTGACATTATATCAAAATGTAATAAAATTTAACAAAATTAACTTATAAGAAATTTTTATTAACATACCAAGTAGATCCGCTAATAAAAAATTAATTTTATATTAATATAAGAAAGCCTATCCAGGGCCCAGGTTATCTAAAATGTACTCAGGCCCAGGCTTGTTTCCACAGTTTTTCCTAGAAATTATCCTGAAATCTCGCCTAGAGCCCTTATTTTATCCGAGTTTTCTTCTGGATTGTTCGATAATAATAGCAATAACAATAACAATAACAATAAGAACAACTTGTAATTATTCATTTGACCGAAAAACCGCCATTAAAATATATAAGGAGGAAATATTTATTTATAAATACCTGAAAAAAAAGAAAAAATAAATAATTTTCAATATTCTATTAAAAATGTTTTATATTTTCCACATTAAAAGGTTTCGAAACTTATAAAACAAATAACAGGTGTTTATAAACTAAAAATACATTATCATTAATCGAACGTACGTATATACCTATAATTGAAAGCGAATTTTTAATATTCTGTTAGAAATAATGTACATTTTCCCAACTTACAAAACAACTTACTAATACGCGTTTTTAAACTGAAAATACATTATCACAAATTGCCCGTACTTACATATATAACTAAAAAAAGTATTCTTTGTCGTGACTAGAAAATCTTTGGGTTTATAGTAGTAGTAGTGTCTTTATTTTCCCCTTGGGGTTAATCCTCAATACACATTTACTTAAACCTAACTTATAACTATCCTTACAATTATTCTTAACTCTAACCTTATTACTAAACCTACTTAAGACTATCCTTAAAATTATCTTATACTACTCCTGCCCTTATCCTCCCGACTGCGAGATTCGGGTCTAGACGCCCT